CGTACAAAAAAGACCGAGGGCCGATATTCTTCCACTACGGTCCCGAGCAAGCTTGTTTAATAAGAGATTTATTATACGACTGAAGTTCAAAGAGACACAAGTGCGGTATCATTCGGAACCGTTCTGGACAGTGCTCGGTCTAATACTGAGAGAATATTGACCGACAATAGAGCAATTTGATTGGTTGATTTTAGTTATTGGCCCCCTGACTGCCCGAGTCGTGTAATAAATATATGTACGTATATTGCGGTTTTATGAAATGTATGAAAGCGATCCTCTCAGTATACTGCGAGGGTTTATACTTACGGACCTGAATTTCCACTACTACATAAGTAGGGTTTATTACTGCGTGGCTCACTTTCATACGCGACGGAATACGTTCGCTCTCCTTCGTTTAGGTAAAGGTGAGATCGGCGGTATTTTTATCGTCTCTCCTTTTGTTTTTGAAGTATTGCATGTGAAGTGGGAACGATTTTGGGTTATTTTATGGATTTATGCAAAATGTTTTCCAGTTTCATTTCTATTTATGAAAGAAGAGCATTACAAGAGCTTCACAATTAGTTCTTGGACGAGGATTTTTGATCACTGTAAACTGTTCGTCGTCTTTTATATTTGTCGAGTGGCGGTTCAAACAGGAAAGTTAATTTATGCGGCTTCTTCTTACGCCAGCTGTGATGAATTCCCAAAAGCCTCTATTGCACAAGGATACCGAATGAAGATCAAAGTTAACAATAAAACGTTTGTTTGTTTCTTTTGTATTTTTTGAATGAAAAGCAGTTTGAAAGCTTTGAAAACAGGTTTGAATAAAGTTCTTTGGTTATTTATAATAAATTCCTTTAGCCTCCGTTTTTTCCTGTGCACTTCGGGTTACGATCTGTTATGAAACCAGAGAAAAGGACCAATGCAAAGATCTACACCCCCGTAAAAGGGAGTGATCAATAAAAAATACGAAAGCCACTTTGAGAATTCTGCAGAGTCATCCCTAGAGTCAAGTGCTTAAAATGAAGGACTTGCCTTTCCGGTAGCAAGTTAAGTGAGTGATGAAATACGCAGTTTTGCCTGCATATTTTTCTTAAAAAATTGTGATCTGATAACTAACGAACTAAGGTGCATTTTTAAAGATCGTGAAATCAGTGAAGGAAAATTCATAGCAAGGTTGAGAGAATGATATATATTGAATTTGTCAAATACGAAAAGCACGACTAAGGACAAGGCGATTGAATTAGTTAACTAAGTGATGATATCACCGCTTATGTAACAGAAACATCACGAATGTCATGAGACTGACTATAAGCGACCTTTTCACCAACTTGTTCAATTTGAATTCAATGCAAATTCTTTTTTTCATACAACAATCGGACAGGACTTTTTTTCCAATATTCGCACTAATGATTTTTCTTCTCCACAGAGCGAAAGTCCTGGTGTCACTGCTTGTTATGATACATGTGTTTTCTTTTGCTCACCTCCCGCAAAGTAAAAAATATCATATAAAAAAATGAGATTATAATTTGTGACCTCTGCTTTGTCAATGAAAGCTGACTAACGAAAAAAAAAAAAAATAAAACGTAGAACAGAAGCATGCTTTTGAAAAAGATCTCACTGCCTGGGCATACTAAATATGTCTTCAAGCGCTCTTTTATACGAGTTTCCACCCCTGTCTGGATGCTGTGCAATAACGACAAGGTCGCCGAATTCGGGTTAACATAAGTAAGATAACAACTCTAATAAAGCACCTTACCCCAAACAATCTGATCCCGTTTTTATCAAGATAGACATCTGTACGATTGGGGTTCTCCAGTTGGGTCACTGCTGCGGACGAATAACCCATGCAGTATCCAAAACTAAAAGGACCAAACGCCGCGACCGAACAAGCGATTAGTACGGTCCATAAGCGTTCCTTACCCTTCTTCTGAGATGGTTTTTCACTTAATTGGTAATCGAAGTAGGTATCCTCTGTCATCGTGCCGCAAGTTCAGACTTGGTAACGACGTTGTTTCCTTTTAAATTTTGCGAAGAACTTGCATCGACGAGAGCCTCAAAGAAAAATGCTGAAGATCAAGAGAAACTTTAATTACTATACTACAAGCTAATTCACGTGATGTCTCCCTGATTCTGGATAAACATTGACCTGGTGACCTCCGTGTAACAACAGGATATACTGCACGTGTTATGATACAGAATTAAATAAATGTGGGCACGTGGAAATTGGCGTCTCATGGTAACCTTTCCACCTAGCTGCTCAAGTTTTCCGGTCAGTCTAAAAATTTGAATTTTGCTCTCACGTGCGAACTTCTTGGACTCGCTTGAAATTTTAAAGCGTCGGCTCACTGCACGCGTCTGTGCACAAGTTTGTTGAAATCAGATAAACACGCGATTAAATCAAACATTTTATAGGGCCTTGTGGGGACTCCCTCATCAGCGCATGACATCAAAGGCGGCCCTAGCGTACTCTGGATGATTTGGGTTCATAACATATACTCTATTTCTATGGTAGTAGCACTACATGCACTACAAAGAAAGTAAAAAAAAAACGGTTGTTTCTATTATTTTTTTTTATTACGGCACATGCTTTAAAATATATTAAGTATTGCCGTTAATGACCCTTAGACCCCAAAATCACACACAGTACGCTTGAGCCGCCTGTGATAACATGAACCTGTAGCCGCCTGTGATAACATGAACCTGTAGTCGCCTGTGATAACATGAACCTGTTTGCATTCTAGGTTACTTCATAAAGTGATAGCTTTTTGTGGCAACTAAGCGGAGAATCACATGAACCGGCTGACGGTCCTACTCTCCGGCTTTCCTCATTACGCGGTACATGGCTTTTATTAGATCGCGTAATAAGATCATTTCTTCAAAGTAAAACCTAAACCAATCAAATTTTACGAAAATATATATCTCTCTTTTCTCTTCTTCCTTTTTTTTTTGGTGTTTTTTCTCCTACTAAGAACAGAAGAAACTTGTTTATACGTAATTGTTATGGCGTTTACTTATAACCATCCGGTTGTTTCACATTCTGCACCGAAAATTGGTCTACATAAAAAAAGAAAAGTTTATTTTTCATATCATATCAAGAGATGTAAACTATAAGTCGGGCTCTCAATCATAAAATGACAACATACTGTATGGACGTTCCCCAGCAGAAGCCGATTCGCTCGCAAATCGTTGTCAGGGATGCGCAGGGCAGGTAAAAATAGAACGTGTAGAGTATTGAAGCTGTATCTAGATGAAATTTAAAACGTATGAAGTGTACTTTTAAAGCACTTTTTTCGAGAAAATTTTGTTATCAATTATTTGAAACCGAAGTTTAAAGTAGACTTCATCATTTTCGAGGATTCAGTTCTTTTTTGTCGAAAGACCGCCAAAGAGTAGCGTGTGTACAGCTGCCCCCCCCCCTC